TCCCCTCCCCTCCCCTCCCCTTCTCCTTCCTTTCTTCATTCCTTCCTTCCTTCCTGGGGAACAAACCCAGGGGCACTCTAACCATGGGCTACATCCCCAGCCCTCTGTACTCAGAGACAGTCTCCTGAGTTGCAAGCTTGCCCAGGCTGGGCCCAACCTTGTGCTCCTCCTGCCTCAGCTTCCCAGAATGCTGGGATTACAGGTGTGTGCCACTATGCCCACTTCAATACTCTTTTGTATTGCATCTTTACCCAGTGAGCATGTGCGCTTTTTAATAATTATAACCCACAAAGCCATTTTTAAGGGATGGGAACATTCGTGAGGGTTTTGCCAGAGACAGAGGTCTTAGCCCAGCCTGCTCTTCCCAGAGGGCGGCACTGGGTCTGCGAGATGCTGAGACTGCTGAGAGCACAAGGCCACGAGTGCCACAGGGGCTGGAGGGATGCGAGAGGCCTGTGAGCTCTGCACTGTCCCCCGGGACCAAGGGGCGCTCTGTGGGTGTCAGTGCAGAACCCAAGGCAGTGTCGGGAGGCAGGGAGGCCCACCGAGGCAGGGGAGCAGGTGGGGGCTGGGCTCGAGGGGCACCGCCTGGGACCCTAGAGCAGAGAGCGGCGCAGAGGCTGCCACATCCTGTGTGGCCTTTCCTGGAGGCTTGCAGGTGGCCGGCACTGCCCAGGAAGGAGGACCCCTCCGGAGCTCAAACAGTGCGCACACTGAGGAAACACCTTGGGGAAGATCTGGGTGAGGGGGACGTGAAAATAGGAAGGGAGGCTCCGACAGCTGACAGCCTCAGCCTCCGGGAGAAGGTGCCTCCCCGCGTGGGAGGGCAGAGCGAAAATAACCCAGAGAACCTGGCACCGTCCTGGGAGGAGGCGGCAGGCACGGCGGCACCATCTGAGGCCTGAGTTGCTTCCAGTATTTAAAAAGTGAGAGGTAATTAGGTGGCAGGTGCCTCATTAGAGTGTGCCTGGCTGGCTGTCAGGGAGGAAGTGCCTGAGATCCAGCAGGAGGCGGTGGCCGGGTGGCGGAAGGCCGGCCTGGCCGCCTGTCTCTGTACCCAGCCCCAGGGTCCCCAGGACACATCCGGCAACGTCCGGAGGCCGGGACGCTGCGAACCCTCCACCGATGCACAGGGCAGGCGGCTCCCTGCGAAGATGACCCCGAATGAGACGCTAATGGCGCTGGAGCGGAGAAGCCCGATCCCACTGAAGAGCCCAGCCCTCCGGCACCTCTTAGCTCTTTAGTGCCACCTCGTGAGGGCCGAAGGGGCCCTGCCGAGCCAGTTCGGCTCAGGGCACCAGACCTACTAGACCCTGACCGGCCTCCCCACGCAGGGCCCGACCCTGAGACGCCCGGCTTTCCACCTCCCCTGCCCCGGGGACAGGGACAACGGGGGAGCGGGCAGACACACGAGGGCTCTGCTCCACAGCTGCCTGCGCAGGACGAGGGTGGGGCTGAGCCCGGTCGCGGGCTGAGGCTCGCTGGGCCCTGGCACAGACGAAGGGCGGCTTTGGGGGCTCACTGTCCCCTCGCCTCTCCTCCTGGCAGGCAGCGGCCCACAGGAAACTGGGTTCAGGGGGCCTCGAGTATGCGGCTTCCTCGGACCCAACCCTGGGGTCTGCTCAGGACACTCCAGGGCCGTGGCGTTCCGGCGCCGGCACCTACCTCAGTTTTCTTTTCCTGTTGGCCCAGCAAGGAAGGGGCGAACTCCAACCCCCTCCCCCAGGGAGCAAACAACACTGGCGATGACGGAGAAGTTTCCTTCGGAAACAACTGAAGTCCAAAGAGCTAAACAAGAAAGATGTTAGGTAACTAATACAACCGGCAGACGCAGGTGTGGTTAAAACCACAATGGCGGCGGACGAAAGGGGTGAGTTTGGGGCAACCTTGCGGGGTTGTGCAGTTTCACACAGCCCTCTGACAGCTACGGCCACGCCCTGTGCTTGCTGACATTTGAGCCAAGGGTGGATGGCACACACACGGTACGTGCTACACAGCGTGCGTGCGCAGCGGGCTCTGCCGTGGAGGTTGGCTACGCGCGCACCGTGTCGCCCGTTCACACGATGACAGAATACCCAGCCACACACTTCCCAGGTCTCGTCCCAGTGTTGTGGGAGCCTGACTGCAGTATTCAAACACCTGCGGTATGCAGCAGCCACAGGCACAGGAAATACAGGGTGATGAAGACGGCGCAGTGGCGGTAACTGTGGTGCAGGATGGGAAGGAGAATGCTTGGGCAGAGGGGCACCGTGAGATGCCTTGGAGGGTACCCCTGGCCCGGGGCTCAGAGAAGGCTTCAGGAACGATGAGAAGGAATCCACAGGGATAAGGGACAGGAGGGAAACTGCTCCAGGCACAGGGACCTTTGAGGTGCAAAGGTCCTGAGGCAGGAACAAGCGTGGGGCATTTGAGGAACCTGAGGAGGACAGAGAGGGCAGGGGGAGGGGACCTCACTGGGACAAGGGCCCAGATCACCCCAGGTCCTGGAGGCCACGGCGAGGAGATACACATGTGCCCTGAGATGTGTGCGCCAGGTTTTGTGTTTTATGTGCGGTTTCTGGAGACACTCCCACAGCATTTGATGTACTCTGAGAGGAACCCAGGACCACGAGACACAGAAGCTGCTGGGGATTTCACACCCTCCGTCTGCAGAACGAGCGGAGGAAAGGTGTGGGGCTCTCACCCGGCCTCCTGAGCCCCTGCTCATGACCCCACAGGTACCGAGGCCCAGGTCTTCCTGGGGAGCCTGTGGCTCGGGATGCTAAGGAGCTTCCCTCCTGCCGGCGGAGGCCCACCCGGGCCACTGCTGTCCAGCACCATGGCGTCAGCGCCTCCGCTCTTTCTTCTTGAAGGACCTGCGCCTCTCACAAGAGCTCTCCTCTCCCACCCCGACAAATCCAGAAAGAGTTTATTATGCAGGCTCCACAGGCCCGAAAACAGGGCTTCAGTCAGAGGCTTTTAGTGCCAAATTAGATTTTGCTCTCATTTGATTAGATTTCCCCAAGGCAGCTTTTAAAATGGTTATTCGGGCACCAATAGAGGTGGGAGAAGCAAATTAGCATGGGCCCAGAGCAGGGGGATCCAGCCAAGAGAAAGAGCTGGAATTAAAACCAAGATTAAAGGCGCAGCCCGAATCATGCTGGAGCTAGGAACTTGGGCTCGCGGAGCTGGGTGGGCCAGGATGCTGCGAGAGGCGGCGATCCTGGAGGTGTGCGGGGTGGGGGGTAGGTGTGGG